CCTTTTTTTCTTTCTTTCTTACCTACATACGTACGTCTGCTCCCTGCCTCTCTCTCCAACCGGGTTGCACGGATTTTCTGCACAGCACAAGCCGCCGCCCCCCATCTATAGTGTATGTCTGTAGGAGGTAGAGACACGGACCCTCCACGTCTACGCATACCTGACTAGGACACGCATTCGCCCCAGAGAGCTTCCCACGAGAGAGAGAGAGAGAGAGAGAGAGGGCCATCCGCTTATAGGAGAATTACAAGAAGCCGAACAGCCTTGGCAGAGGCGGTTTTTGGTTTGGTACCCCGGAGTTCTTTGCCCTTCATGACCCTACTTGCATGCATGCAGAGACGTAGATGCATAATCCAATAGACATGTCTGTCTTCCCAAGCAGGTATTGGTCCGCGTTCTAGGTTACCATGTAAAGCTTGTTGTCGCCGTCGTAACGGAAGCGGTTCGCGCTGCTACGCACGCCTGTCGGCCTGCATAAACGTAGGCTCTTCGCCTCGGAAGAGACGGATTGAGGGGAGCTGAGGGGGGTATATACCCGTCTATTGGACGGAGAGTAGACCCCTTTTTTTTTTCTTACGTGCGTGCGCGTGTGTTGTTTTCCCCGGAGGCGTCATTTAGCGAGCCGAGAAGGTAGCAGCAGCGGTCGACTCCGACCGGGGGAGCGTCTGGGGGAGGGGGTTGACCGGGGTAGGTTAACGGGGAGAGGAGAGGAGAGGGATGGAGGCAGGGACTCGGTTGTGGGGACAACGATGCTCGGTCGTAGAGATCCACACGCCTTGGACCCCTATTCTGTCCGTCTTGCCCATCCATCCATCTATTTCCGGAAACGGAGACGCGCGCAGGGAGCTGGGGTGCTGGCTCGCTAGATGGGTGGGTAGGTGGGTAGACGGGCGGAGGTTCGGCGAGTGGGATAGAGGGTAGAGGACGGAGGAGGAAGAAGGGAGAGGGGAGGTATAGGACAGGACGGGATAGAGCAGAGAGGCAGTTTTACCATGTGAGGGGGGTGTGTACCTTGGCGATCATGGTTATCCATGTGAAGGCGTATAGGCGTAGGCGTAGGTTGGAGGTGTAGGTTGGAGGTAGCGAGGCAGCAGCTGCCCCGGTGGCCGGCGGCGGCGTGTGCAGGCCCGGAGGTTGGCGGCGGGCATGTGGGCAAGATGGGGCGTCGAAAGCCAGTTCGGCACCTGGCTGAGGGGGGAGAGAGAAAGGGGGGGGAAGGGGGGGCGGAGGGAAGTAAGGAGAAGTGCGAGGGGGGGACGAAAAGGGTGTAAAGATGAAGGAAGAGGATAAAGGGGGGAGGAAGGGCGACTTGGTCGCCGGGCCCGGTCGAGCCGCGCTGCTACTGACTCCCGTCTAGCCACCCCCTCCTAACTTATTCCCACTGCAGGGAATCCATCGCGGCAGGTATGGCCGCAACGAAGAACATCCCCCGCTGCCACGCAGGCGCGGCAATGGATGGATCGGGGATAGGGGAGAGGAGGAGGAGGTGCTGAGCAGACGTCGAGGCAGAGCCGCCCTGCTTCCGTATTCAAGGCCGCTCTCCCCCCCCTCGCAAGATATACCTACCCTTAGCTCCCCAGGGGGTATGAGAACCGCACAGGGTAAGCCCAACGGCGGGCCCGTTTCATGCTGGCCGGTTGCGCTCCGTGGCCCGCGCTGCTGCGTTGCTCGCGTGTATATGCATACGCATATACTTTTCGCTTGACTGCAGCAATAGCGGCAGTCGACCATCCACTTAGCCCAGGGAGGCGAGGAGGGGAGAGGGACGCGCGGTGTCGAAGGAAAGGAGACCAATATGCTCGCCCTCCCTGCGCCCGTCTCGTCCGTCGGACAGCCCCGTGGCGCGAGGCCCGGCGGGCCGACGACGGGGTTTGCGCCAGGTACCTCGGGACGGGAGCCGCTGCGGCGCGAATGCTCGATAGAGGACCGGCCGGGACGTAGCCGGGGAAGGGGGGGTGGGTGGGGACAGCAGCGCAGTTCGCTTCTCCGCGCGAGTCGGGCGGGACGCGCGTTGCGGCACGTCGCGGTCCGGCGGACGAGGCCGAGCTGCGGCGCGAGCTGCGAAGAGAGAGAGAGGAAGAGAGAGAGAGGGGGGTGTACCGTACGGGCCAAAAGAGAGGAAAGCAGCTCCAGTCCCAGCGCGTCGTCTCGGCGATCTGTCGTTTCGAGACCGATCCGTCCGCGCCTCGCGGGGGCCTCCGGGCCGGCGCCGGCTCGAGAGGCACGCCTGCGGCCCCGTGCCCCGTATACGGAGCGTGCGAGAGTTTCAGACCTCGGCCGCCGGTCTGGGAATCCGTTTTGTTTCAGCTAACGCGCGCGCCGGGCTCCCGAGGACCCTCACCGCACATCAACCGCCCCCTTCCCCTCCAGTCCCCTCCAGTCCCGAACACCCCCCCCCCCTCCACTGCCGCTCCGTGCCCAGCGGCCTGTGCGGCTAGCGAGATAGGACAGCCCCGTTCCCAGGGGGGCGGGGGCGGAGGGGGGCAAGCAACCGGCTAGCGAGACCGACCTCGTCTCTGAGAGAGAAAGAGAGAAGGGCGCGGTCGAGATGCGAGGGACCATCCGGGAGCAGCGGCACCGGGGGGGGGGGGAGCGAGGCGGAAGATAGGTACTTACTCCGCCGCCTGCGTCAGGGCCCGGACTGTCTATCCGCTGGGCGTGACTGGGCGTCGTGCTCGGCCGGGACGCGGGGGAGATAGGGGGGGAGACGCGATGGAGAAGGGGAGGCGGAAGTAAGGAGAGAGGGAAGGAGGGAGGCGAGAGGAAGCGAGTGCTGCGAGCCGCAACCCGGCGTGCGTGGGTGCGTGCTCGCGGGGCCTCCCTCTGCGCGTGCGCTTGGTGTCTGCGTCTGCGTGTCCGTTTCCATCAGAGCATAGATAGACATGAATATATTTTGATACTATGTATACGCACGGGCGAGAAGAGGCGGGGGTGCGTACGCGTGTGTGTTTACCGCTATAGCTAGACATACCCACACACACCCGACCCCTTACAGCCTATCTATCCATCTACCACCCGCCAGGCACACAAGCGGCGCGCGCGTATCTTTTACACCTTCTATCTATCTATCTATCTGGCCGGGCGTATGGCCGAGACGGCGGGCCGGCGGAGCTTAGACGTCGGCACATGTGCGGCGGCCGGCATGGCGAGATAGCACGCTCCGCTATTGTCTGTGCCGCGGGTATAGTGTATTAATGGTAATGAAGGCTGGCGCCGACACGAAGCGGGATGCCGTATATCGGGGACTAGGCGGGGGAGATAGGCATTATATTATCGCGTGTTTCCCCGACTTCCTTTCCCCGGGCCTACGCGTCTGGATGTCTGTCACCTGTATCAACGCCCTAGGATATGTGGCTCTAACCGAGACACGGTTCCGGAACGAGGGTTAGGATGTGTGTTATGTGCGAGGGGAGGGGCGATAGGGAGGGAGGGATATGGTATGGGCGAATCGTATGAGCACATCGACTACTTGCAGTCAAGACGGGGCCGCGAGTATATATACTAGAACATTTGCCTACCTACCTGCCCGTGGCCTGAGTTTACTCGTTTCCTCTTACCTATAGCCCTGCTGCCTTAGTTCTCGCTTCCATTGGTCTCTTAACTTCCAACCCGAGTTTTCGGGGCTCAAGTCTTACGTATTACTGAGAAGGCCTTCTCGCGAATGCTCTTTAGGTCCTTCGCTCTACCACTCGACATGGACATGTGCCGCCAATTATTCGTTTCATCGTAGGTGGGCGTTGGGCGTTGGACGCGTTGATATACATCCGTGGGAGAAACGCCGGCATTGCAAAAGCCTCCCTCCCCTACGACGCCGGACGAGCGCGCCCGGATACGATCATGTCCGGTGGCGATCGAGGTCGGCGGGATATCGGAGCAGCCCCAAGTGTCACCAGCTTGCTCACCCGCCCGCCATCCAACTTCTTACTGGATGCTTTTACTAACTTGTCAACTGTCGTCCTACGACCGTCCAAGGGATGGCGACGACATACGGCCCCCGCACTCGGAGATCGACTTACCACCAGTGCTGCCGAGGTTACTCACCGTTCCTACCCTCCCCCCCACCCTCTCCTTTCCATAGATAACAAAGTGGCGATGCCTTCTCTCTTTCCGAGAAAATATTATTATTGCCCCCCCTCGCCTATTGAAGATGGTCCGGTAGGCATAATAAGACCGGCAACCTCGAGCTAGGTGGAAAGCAGTAAGATCCTCGACGTTACCATGGGTGTGCTATCCGACGTGGGAACCTAATCGTTGTCGCCGTCTCGAGTTTCTGGCGATGAGGTGGATGTGTCCATACCATTACCAAGTAGTATCGGGCTTGCCCGCGGGTTGCCGATAGGAGATTGGCGGCGAGGTAGTTAACAGAACCCGGACAGTAGTGGATCACCTGGCGGAGATGCGGGAGGGGACAATCGAGATCCGCCCATATACGGGGGGCTAAGAGGTATGAGATTAAGACACACAGGAGTAACGTCCATCGGGGTTGGAGAGACTGCGGGGAAAAAACGTAGGTGGGCCAATGGCCGCTGCCATCCCGTGTGTGAGACCCTGCCGAGTCACCAGGAAAATCTCCGTCGCCTAGATAGGAGAGTTTAAAGCAATACGACGGGACAGAAAGAGGCCTTGGCGGGTTCTGCGATGCATGGAGTTCTGTCGGAGCACTGCTGCTCCACACGTAGAGGGCGTCTACGTGTGAGTGTACGAGGAGACGCTGGTGTGTGACTTTTAGGTATGTCCAAGTAAGCGGAAACGTGACCCTCGCCAGTCACGGGCAATATCGGATGCGGCGAATGAGGGAACGGGCCTGGGGTCGTCGGTCCCATACCTCTCCAATTGCGTATATCCTGCGTAGCGGCGCGCGAGGCGTCCGTCGCGATATCGTAATAGGGATAGATGGAAAGGCCGTGAGCCTAGATGCGGCGCCGCTCGCCTGACTCGGTGTGGGGGTGAAGCGATGCTGGCGAGAAGGGGCTACGCTACGACTAGGAGAAAGCTAAGAGAGTACGATTAAGCTTTGTCTAGCAACACGAGGCTCGCGACGCAACTGATTGGCCGGGCCTGCTCTAACCTGGGCGGACAACACGCATCGGTGTCAATATCCGATAGGGATGGGATCCTACCGCAGTAGCTTTACCCGGAGGTGAGTGCCGACGGGGCCGGTGGCCTGTAGTGCGACGCTAATGTACCCAGACGTCGCTATGCGACGGCTTAAATGCTACGGTAGCGGAGAGGCGAAGAAGGGGATGAGGCGAGCTGTCGGCAGCGAGCAGAGCGCGTTTACAGAGAGAGGGAGAGAGATGTGCATTGTATTGTCGGTGTGCCAGTGTTGTCGACGAGATAAAGGGTCGCGTCGTGTTGCTGAGGATGCCATCTTGCCGTGCCCGTTTCGACCATCGACCGCAGATGCCGGTCCGGCGGCGACGCTGACGAGAGCGGCACAGGCTAGGGCTCATTGGCGGGAGTAGCACTGTGGCCTTCACACCCGGTGATGCCATTGGGCATGGTGGTTGGTGTGTCAGCGCCTGGATGTTGTGCTGATCCGTGCAGATGCGGGCGATAAGGTCGAGGGAGAAACGCGAGGATAAAGAAACAAGGCGACATTCCAACCCCTCGCAGGGTGACACCAGGTGACATACCACCTGAGAATAGGCGACAAGCCAGGAATTGGGCTGATGCCGTAACGCTTGCGTCATCACAGAGATGCCGGAATCTGGGCATCACAAAAAAGAAAGGGGGGGCGAGGGTGAGGGTGAGGACTGAGATCTATCTCACTGCATTGCGGCGGGTTCTGACCAGGATGGCGCTACGGAGAAGGGGGAAGAATGTATGCGTGTATACATACTCATACTGAGAGGAGTGGGGAGGAGGGGCGGGAGGAGCAGGAGGGCGCAGAGGCGCTTGTCAAAGAGACTAGAGGGCTGGCTGGCCTGTTCGTGTTCTGACGGCTTTCGGATAAGACGTTAGGTCGGCGAGGCCGTCTTCGTAATGTGTGATGGGGTTATGCGAGACGGAGGCAGGGAGGGAGACGGCGCGGCGGAGAGCAGAGAGAGCGGGAGGGAGATATGTGAGGTAGGGAGAGCAAGAGAGAGAGAGAGAGAGAGGGAGGGAAGAGGGTGAGGGTGAGATGGGACACGACACTGTCTGGTGGCCACTGTCTGGTGGCGGACTGACTGGCACTTGGGGCGGTACTTCTTTGGGGTGGTGCTTGGGGAGTGACGTAGCTGATTGCGAATTGTCCATCTCCCTCTATCTAGGTATTCACTCTCTCTCCGTCTAGGTATTCTCTCTCTATCCCTCTCCCCTCGTTCGTCTCCCCGATCAACCTTTCGCTCGGCGCGCGCTGGATGACAAGCGGCGTCCGTCACTTGCCTCGCCGGCCCTCGCTGCCTGAAGGTTATAACCTACGGGTAGGGTAGGTTCCGTATATGCAGCGCCGGTCTTCTGCCCTGTTGCTGGTTCGCGCTGCCCTGACGAATTCCTGGAAGGAGACCAGCCACGAGAGGACGGGGTTCCTTTAGGTATCTCCATACCTGTTGAAACCTTGGACGTAGGCGCATACCATACCTATGTATATGCGTACGTATATGTACATACGGACTACGTTCTCATACAGGTCCGTCGCAAGCCATCCATCCGTCTGCGAGGCCCATTTTTGACGCCGTGGACCTTGAATAGGTAGCTTGGCCTGCTACACGTAGGACCTCCAACCAGGCAGAGATTTGCTTCCCTCCGTCCTGTCCCCAGCGGAAGTCGACCAACCAAAATGCCATGCCCTCCCTTTCCCCTACGCACATTCTCCCACACACGCGCGCACAAATGCCCACGCATACCTACCACAATATCTATACTCATATACGTACACATACGCACATACGCGCACACAGATGCACGCGCACACGCACATACCGGAAGGGGACGTCGAACCAGATGGCCGTGGAATCCAGAATGGTTTAAGGATTGGTCTTCCTCTGCCGGTCATAGGTCGGTTGTTGCGGTGCGACCGCCCTCATTCGAGACCTACATGCATTTACACGTCGAATCGAATGAGCGGCCGGGCGAAGAGAAGGAGAAAGAAGGGGAAATCCCTCCCCGGCTCCCCTGCTCTCTTCGTGACTCAGCAATTATGACACACACACACACACAATACACACACACACACACACACACACACACACACACACAATACACACACATATACATACGCATAATATATACACGCACGCACACATATTTTTCTGCTCGTTCCTCTCTTCTTCCTCTCCTCCGTCCAGCCCCTCTCCGTCCGTCTACGTAGTGTACGTGGGTACATACACGTACGACGGGACAGCATATCTATATTGGGTAGTAAATTTTTTCTCCCTCTAGTTTCCGTCTTCAAACAGCATCCACCCTCGCGTGCAGAATTTTAATTTGTCAGACGCGCCAGGGCCTGACGTTGGTCCCGTCTGCCCAGACGAAGAACCTTGAGACCGGGGGGGGGAGAGGGAGAAGATGAGGGGTGGGGCTGGGTTACGAAGTACGTATACTCATACTCATACTCATATATGAGTACAGAGCGTAAATGGGGATGGCAGGTCGACCAAGAAAGGTTGGGTTGGCATAGGCAAGGGTTCGCCTCCTCGGCCGGCGCGTCTGATTCGAAGACTCGTTCGCCACATGAGGATGAGCAGAGACTGTGTAAGGGGGCATCTTCCTGCCTGATCCCGCCTAGCGCCGCCCTCCCCCCCCCCCCCTCCCTCTTGGCCCTGCCCACTTCTCTTCGTGACCGTACCGTCGACGGTTTCGAGCCGACGCACACACGTACCTGGCGGCGTACCGCCTAACGTACCGCCTAACGTACCGCCTAACGTACCACTAACCCGCCGCGCTGCGCATCGCGCTACCTGCTGTCCGCCACCGCATGTACCTAATCTACCGATCCGGGATACCTGCATTCGCGGCATCCCATACATTCAGCGATACGTATATCCCTGGCCGTCGACCTCGAGCCTCTGCTCATGAGTATTATCAGACACGCTTCACGATTCTCGTGTCCACTTTTCGTCATCTCTGTCTCTTGTCTCTTGTCTCTCTCTCTAACCCTCGTCTTCATCCCCTCCCCTGTCCTCTCGCCGTGTGTCTGTCTATTCCGAAAATTTCCCGCCCGGTTTCCACAAAAGATCCCACGGTGCAGAGAAGGCGGTATGCCCGGGCTGCTACGTACCTATAACAACGTACCTATAGTAGATGAGGTCTCTACAGGCATATCCTACTCATACGTTGTGCCGTACACACAGTAGGTAGGTAGATAGGTACCTAGGGTAGATAGAATGTACTACAGGTACGTGGTTAGTTCGGCTCGCCTAGCCAGTCGTCGATCCGGCGCCGTGAGCGTCGTTCCGACAGCAAACCCACAAGGCGAGAGGTCCTGCGCTGGCGACACCAGATTAGATTTGTTGGCAGGTATCTGTAGAGCTTGAGCGTGGAGGTGAGATGCGCCGTTTATTGGCTCCGTTTGCGAACTTGCGCCGGAAACGCGAGGGTTGCTGGCAAACCTGACGGCGGCCTAGAGATAAGACGGCCGATTCCTGGATCGACGGGGGTGAGGGAGGTCTCGACGGGGCAACGGTCGCGCACGCACGCACGCACGCACGCACAAACCCAGATGCATTCACGAGAGTCGGGAATGGTGTGAGGAGACATGCAAGGTGGGTAGGCAGGCAGATAATGCGATGATGTATACTCATATGCATCTACTCGAGTATGTTGTCGGCTCGAGTACTAAACTTGGCTGTCCATCCTATACGGCAAATTCCTCACTTACTTCCTTACTATACTAGGTACCTACCTCATACGGCGAGGTTAGGCAGAGAGACACGCGGAGGCATCAGAGGCAGAATGGGCCTGGGGAAATGGAGCGGACAAACCGACGGGCGAACTCGTATGTTCAACGTCCAATTTCAGGACTGCCCGCACCGTTGCGAATCAGGCTGTCGGGGTGTATTCCATTATTCGTTATTCGGGTCAAAGAGGTAAAAACGGGGAAGAGGCCCCGTCGTGGACAGTAACCGGACGAATCACCGTTTTGCCAGTTCTCCATCGGCCAGGTAGGGTTGAAGTGTCAGTCGGTGCCAGAGAGTAGCAGGAGCCCAGCAGCAGCAGCCCAGCGGAGAGAGAGAGAGAGAGAGAGAGAGAGAAGTAAGAGGTAGGTAGCCATATAGGTGCCCGCCGAGGCATTAGCACGCGAGGTACCGCCGACGTAGCCTCGAGGTACCGCGCTATCTCGCCATCCAGCTCTGGCACGCAGCGGCAGGCCCCTGAGCCCACAAGTCCATAGCGCGGTACGCGGCGCGAACGCGGGCGGTACGCAGGCCCGTAACGGCTCGAGAGCGGGCGGCGGCGTGGGCGCACTGTACGGGGTACTTGGGGATCTTCGATCACGCCTTCCACGCATCCATTGGACGATCAATCCGTGGCTGCTGCGGGCCTTGTCCACCTTCGGCTCCAAGCATTTTTCGGGGGTCTTTACGTCTGCTGTGCCTGCCTCTTCTCCCCAAAACCACCCCTTATGTCACTTCTTCCCTCATGACCTCATCGCCAACATCTCTCGTCGCCGCCTGTGATTCTCGCCTTCGCACCACACGCAACACACCAACCCGGCGCCACGCCTCGACCGCAACCAACATCCGCCCACGCCGACGCGCCGACGGACCGGCTCGCTATACGGCCCTGCTGCTGCTCTTCCCTCTGCCGGCACGCTGCAGGCCACCCACCGCACCCAATCCATGCCGCCCTATACCGCACCACGGCGTCGATAAACCTTGCCCATCAGACAGCCCCAGCCCGTGAACCCACGCCGCTCTCGCCCTCTCCCTCTCCCTCTCCCTCTCCCGCCGCCTCTCTGCCTCTCTGCCTCTCGCCCTCTCTGCGAGCCCAGCGAGGCAGAAGTCCCAGCACCGCACCCGCACCTCTCTCCGCGCCGCGGTGCCAGTCGCCGTACAACACATCGCTAGTGTCTACGCATTCCGTCACTCCTTCATCAATCAATCGCCACGATACCCAAAATAAGCCTTCGACCGCTCGCACCTTATTCTCCAGGCCGTGGTTCGGCCCTTTTATGTTATTTTATTTTTTTCCCTCGTTTTTTTTGCTTTCCCCCCTCCGGGCCAGGTTGTCTTCTCCGACCCCGTAAGCTAGCAAGCATTGTGTGCGTCGAGCGTGTCGTTACATCATAATTCTCAACTTGGACCACTCCCGCACGTACACTCTTAAAACAACGTCGTCATCGCCGTCACCATGGCCCCGATCGAAACCAAACCATCCGATAATCCTTTGTCAGGTGAGCTCACCGAACTTCCTTTCCTCCCACCCCTCTCTCTCTCCCTTCCCGCCTTCCCCTTGCCGTATGCCTATCTTCGCATCGACATGCACCCGAGCATCATCCCGTGTCGTTGCCGCCGCTACTACTGCTACTGTTACTCCAACCATAGGTTGTCCCCCATTGTTGGTTGGCATGTGTTCAATTGGATGTCCGTTGCTGACCCGTCCTCGTCGCGCTCGCAGAACCGAACGGCGAGAAGAAGGCGTCCGAAATTAAGTCCGAGGCCGCCTCCAACAGCGAACCCGGTCGACCGTTGGCGCCGCCGCCCAAGCCCGGCGAAGATTACTTCTCGAGCAACCTCAGCCTCGAGCCCAACCCCTTTGAGCAGTCGTTCGGTACGGGAGGCACGGTGGAAACCCCTGGTGGCACGAAGCTGCCCAGCGTGGCCGCTCTGACATCGCCGTCGTCGCTGCTGCCCGGAAACGGGAATACACCGTTCAACTGGGGAGGCGGGTCTCTTAGGACGGGGCCGCTCAGTCCAGCTATGCTCTCTGGCCCGGCGAACGACTACTTTGGTGACACATCGCACACCCTACGCGGCGGATTCACACCCAACGAGAGCTCCTTGCGGACGGGTCTGACGCCGGGCGGGGGTGGTTCCATGTTCCCTGCCCCGAGTCCCAACTCGCAGGCCCTCTTTGCCCAATTGGCGAGCGGCACGGCGACACCGAGCACGATCGACTTCCATCGCACGGCCATGAGCGCGGCAGCAGCCAAGGCGAACCACGACAAGCCGCTACCCCAGGCCGTGACGTCGCAACCGCAGGAGCCGACTTCGTCCGCGGTCAAGTCCGAGTCGAAGCCGACGTCGGGCGCTTTCGACCCCCACGACAACGATGCTGCTAACGGCCTCTTCATGCTAGCCCAAGGCGCCCAGGGCCGTAACGGCACCCAAGCGCAATACCCGGTCGGTGGCAGCCAGCCCCTGCACGCGCACCCGGCTGCCCCTCCGCCCAACGCATCGAGCAACAACACCAACAACACGTCACCTCACATGAACGGAAACGGCGCGCCGGCCCCGCCTCCGGCGCGGGGGGTCAGCGAGGCGGCGAGCGGCGCGTCGGAAGACAGCGAGCCGTCGAAGCCCAACGCGAGAGGGAAAGGCAAGCGTGGCAGTGCGGTGGTGTCGGTGGTCAACGGGCGGCGCAAAGCCGAGGATACGCCCACCAAGCAGCCCGCTAACAAGAAGACCAAGACGGCGTCGTCGTCGAACGGCGACATGGACAACTCGTCGGAGGACGAGGACGACGACAAGGCCAACAATGACGGCCAATCCAAGTCGAAGATGACGGACGAAGAGAAGCGCAAGAACTTCCTGGAGAGGAACCGGTAGAATCCCCCGCTTGCCTACCTCCCTACCACCACCGACCACTTTGAGCCGTTGCTAACCCGACTCGCCAGTGTTGCTGCTCTGAAGTGCCGTCAGCGCAAGAAGCAATGGCTGGCTAACCTCCAGAACAAGGTGGAGATGTACAGCAGCGAGAACGACGCCTTAACGGCGCAGATATCCCAGCTTAGAGAGGAGGTGGTCAATCTCAAGACCCTGCTCCTAGCCCACAAAGACTGTCCCGTCACACAGCAACAGGGGCTGCATGGGCCTTTCATGCAGCAGACGATGGAGACGTACAATCCGCAGATCAACCCTTACGGCATGGCGGCGCCGATCCCGAACCAACCGGTGATGGCGGGGCAGGGGGTACAGCGACGCTTCTCGTAGGATGAGAGCGTCGCTGCTCCCGAGCCCGCCGTCTACCGGGAGTCAACTGGTGGCCGGCAGGCATGATGACGCTCACTGTGGCGCTTATTCTGGATGACCTAAGAGCGTTGGCGCCTTGGACGTATCGGGGACCGAGTGGTCGACCGATCGTCGTGGGACCCAAGAGGGGAAATTAAAAAAAAGCGGCGATGTATAATGGTACGGGCGGCGGGACGAATGACGAAAAACCAAACACAAAAAGGGGCGCTCTTGACCTTCTCGCGACACGAGAGGTTGGCGGGGCGCGCTCGAAGGGGGGGGAGGGGGACGGAGGCGCCCGCTCGTTAGCTGTTGTGTCTGTAATAACATTCGACTATCATGATGAGAGAACGAACGGGGCACGGAGGCTGGCGGCTGCGACGGCGGCGCCGCGTCGACACGGCATCGTGGAGACGGCGTGACGTTGCAGCTCGGCCGTACTACTTCTACTACCACCACCTCTCTACTGCTGCCGCCGCGACCGCTGGTGCCGCTTACTACTACTTACCGTCGGTTGACATGGGGCCAGTGTGCGCACGTGCGTATCTGGGCTGGGCGTACACATCAAAAACGGTGTTGGGGTGTCGGGACGTGATTTGAATGTCTTGCGGCGTTGAGGGAGGCAGGCGAGGAGGGCAATAACCGGGGATTTGGCACCGCCCCTCCGTCCTTCTCGGGAGTACACGGCCTTCGTTTCGACAGTCTATATCTTTTTTTTCTTCCGTAGCTGATACACGCGGATGCTTCTCGTGCTCGGAACGGACCGTAGCTAGCTCATCTCTGCGGATGTGGACGTAGGACGTAGATGTGGATGTTTTTTTTTTTTTTTTGGTCTATATGTATGAATCGTATCGACGCAATTGATAGATGCCGTGTGCCTAGCCGTATGAGATGTCTCTATTATTATATAACACGGTGTGAGCGGTTACCTATCACGCATATGATAGGTACCTAACGTAAGGTAGGTACTTAATGGAGCTATTGTACCTATCTGCATCGCGGTAAGACATCATGACCCATCGCCCCTTGTATAGGTAGCTGGTTCTGTATCAGCATCCGCGGGATTCTCGTCCGAACCTACTGCTAACCCGAAGATGTCCCACGATAGGTGGGATAGTGGGCGCAGACACGAGACGCGAGGGACCGGGCTACATTACCTCATTTCCGGCAGACCTCCCAATAAGTTACATGCCAGAGGTGGAGGGAGATCTAATTGTAAGGGAGACAGGGTAGGGTGGAGGTACCTAGCCGTATTAGGTAAGTCAGGTACGTTGGGTACAGACACGAAAATATGGGGCGCGTAGCCGAGGTGCGGGCCGGTGATTGGCCAGCCGTGTGCGGTGGCCCGTGGCCTGTGCGCGAGGGCCTATGTAAACAATTGCAACGAGAAGGAAGCCGTCGGTCTCGCGCCTCGTCGCCCACACAGCCAAACCACAGACACCCTGTCGCTGAACGCACCTCTCGCAACCCCCCAGATGACGGAAGACAATACGAGAGGAGGGTCGACGACACCAAAACACGAAAAACATCGATATCCCACCTCGACGCTACCGCACGCCGCCGCCGCTTATGCGACTCGAGCTGCCATCACACAACCACCGCCAATTGACCGACCGATTGGCATTGACGCGGACGACGCGGCTGCAGCGCTGCATTTCCCGCATTTCCTCCCTTCCGCGACCCGTCCATCCCGTAGTATCTGCATCTTCGATCTACCCTCTCGCCGCGTCCTCGTCTCCTGCTTTCTTACCCTCGATCACGACTCGCGCGAACCGCTCTGCCTCGGCCCGACCACCCCCCTCCTCTCCCCCACGAATCCCGAACTAATGCGGACATATGATGAACGCCAGCGTCCATGACTACCCTCGTGCAGACCCGCCAGCCACTACAAGTCCTGAGCATGAGCAATCAGCCCAAGCGTCGCAGGAGCTCGCGCCTTGCCGGTAGGATACCGCTCCGTAGCCCCTGCTACGAAGATAGCCCGGACAGACAGCAGCAAGCTGACGGTGACGTGACAGCATACGATGAGCAGGATGGCGATTTCCACTTCACCCGAGGATCCAAGCGGATCAAGACCCAGCAGCAAGAAACGATACCCGAGGACGATCCCCCTCCGGAACCTGTACTCGCACCCGCACCCGCACCCGCACCTAAAAGGGGTAGGCCGAGAACGAACAAGAATCGCGAGCCACAACCACTACCACCGTCCCCGCCACAGCTCCAGCCGGCCACGAGGAGAAACGCGAAGCGGAGGTCGAGCCAGATAACTGCCGACCAAGACGAGGCATCGGCGCCCCCCCCGCCGTCCTCACCGCCGCCACAGAGGAGCACACGACGACGAGGCCGCCCTTCCTTGGAAAACAAGGAAAAGGAGCCTGCTAAAGTTACGAATGGAGTGGCGAAGAAGCCACGAGCCCGGGAGGTAGTCCAGGAGGAGACGCCGCCTCAGTCGACGCCGGTGGACGAGAGTAAGGCGAGAGGCAGTGGAGATTCGTCGGAACCGAAGAAGATTGCGCTGCCGTTCAGCGACACGCCAGTCATGAACCGCAACAAGGAGATGCGGAGGAAGACGGGCGCCCGCAGGAGCAGTCTGGGCATGCGCGGGAGACGGGCCAGCTCCCTAATCGATAGCGGCCACAACGCCATACCGCACAGAGCGGTCGACTCGGCCGAGTTCTACAAGCACATCGAGGCCGAGCTGATAGAACCACGCCGGATGAAGCAGCTCCTCACGTGGTGCGGGGAGCGGGCATTGTCGGAGAAGCCGCCACTGGGATCACTGAATTCTAATGCGATTCTAGGAGGTAATACCTCTCTCTTTTTCTCTATTTGTCCCTCTCCTGGGGCCTCCCTCGCCCAGCGGCTAGTACTAAAAGCTAACTTACGACGCCGCAGCCCGGGCTATCCAGGACCAGCTGCTGAAGGACTTTGCCTCGAAGTCGGAATTCTCGAACTGGTTCGCGCGGGAGGACGTGCCGAAACCGCCGGCTATAGTGAAGCCGAACCCGCGGAACATCGAACACGAAGAGAAGATTGCGGCACTAGAGGAAAGGATAAAACGGTACGTAGAGAGAGAGAGAGCGGGGGGGGGGGGGGGGGGGGAGAGGAGAGGGGGGAACTATTTCATCCTCACGGGCTAACAGAGTCACGCAGGTTAAAAGCAGAAAAGAAGACGTGGCAATCCCTAAGACAACCGCCGGCGGAGCTACCACCGCTCTTCGCTCCGTCCGAGGCGACATCGCCGCTCCTGCTAGTGCAGCAGCTCCCGCAGCCGGACGCATCGCTCCTCGACCCAGACGAAGCCGAGATGCTGGCGGCGCTCGCGAGCGCGACGATCACGGACACGACGCCGCCGACGACGGGGCATGCGAAGCCAGCAGCGGCGACGGCGACGGCGACGACGACGACGCAGAAGGCGGTGCGGGCGCAGCTGCAGGCGCTGCGGGCGTCGCTGGGGCCGCGCGTAGACCAGCTGGCGGACGGCGTGCACCGGCTCGAGGCGCGGGTCGCGGCCGGCGCGCGCCAGGCCGACCGCGTGCTGGGCCTCAGCGCGGCGCGCCTGCGCGAGCGCGAGGCGCGCGAGCGAGCGCGCGCGGGCACGCGTGATATGCCCGTCATGGAGGTGCTAAGGAGCCTCGGCAGGATACTGCCGCCGGAAGCGGGGGAAGGGGGTTGAAGGGTAGAGATCCGTCGAGGGTACGTGTGTGTATTGGGGAGTGGGGGCGGGTAAGAGGATGGGCAAGGGGAAAATGGCGGGGGAGGCCCAAGGAAAGGGGGGGAGAAGAGAAAAGAATTGGAAACGAGGAGGGGCCGTAGAAGGGAGAGGAGGGGACACCGGGGAGAGGGGAGGCGGCAAGTGTGGATTAACGAAGCAACGAAATAAATTCACAACCCAGCACCGCGCCGCAGCACCAGCAGCGTCTCAGCACACGCGTGTAGATAGCTAGCCGGCCCTCGTCGACGCCCCTGCGTGTGGCTCGCCTTCGCCTTCGCTTTCCTCTCCCTCCCCCGCCTCTTCTCCCCTCCCGGCGCCACTCTTGCTTCTTCCCCTCCCTCGCCCGACGACGAGCGGGAGTTGGCCGGGGGCGTCTGGAGTACACTGTGTGTGTGTGTGTGTGGGACGGCGGGCTTAGACGGGAGATACCACGGCACGGGCTTTTCTACTTATATATATCTACGCACCTATGTCTTGACTCTCTTGTCTTGAGCGTCCGCAGCACTGCGCCCGCGGGCGGCTGCAGCGCTCCGCTCTGCTGTCCGCGCGTCTACCCGGTCTTTCTACATTGCTGCCGTCTCGTCGGAGGGTTCGGTGTGTGCGGAGGGACGCACGTGGAATTGACCGCGGATGCGGAACTGGAGCGGAAATTCGGAAACGAGAACGGAGAGGAGAGGTAGGGAGAGTTACGACCGGGGGCGGCACGTCTCTCCTCCCTGGAAGCACCATATTCGTAGAGAGAACTTGCGTAGTCCTATCTTAACGAGCTAGAGACTCTCCTCCTGGCTCCAACCTAATCATCTCCCCTCTTCCTTTTCCCTTTTCCCTTTTCCCTTTCCTTTCCCCCCTTTTTTACTATTTACACCCGCAAAATGCTCTCCCCCCTACTTCTCTCCTCTGCTCCCAAAAACCATCACTCGCCCCTCAGCGGCGGCATAAACGCCATGCCGCCGCGCGCCTTCGCGCGCTCGCGCACGTGCGCCCGCAGCAGCAGCAGCACCTCGCTGTCGCGCCAGCGCCGGGGCACCGGCCGGTACGCCGGCTTGAAGGTGCCGACGGTCTGGGCCCACTCGCCGGTGGCGAACGACGTCGTCGCGGCGCCGCCGGGCGCCCCCTCCTTGCCCTCGCCGGCGTCGCCGGTGCGCGGGGTGCCGCCCGTCGCCACGGGCGCCGCGTCGCTGGGCGGGGCGCTGCTCTCGGCGGCGGCGGCCTCGGCGCCGCCCGCGTAGTCGGCCGCGCTGGAGTCGCGCGTGCTGCGCGAGGCCTCGGCGGCGACCTCGGCCTCAGCTGACGACGACGCCGCCGCCGCCGCCGCCGCGGGGGCCGGCGCGTCCTGCGTCGCCCAGTAGTATATGTCCCAGTCGTTCTCGTCGAGGAAGCGGTCGTACTGGGCCATCTGCTCGCGGCTCATGCGCGGCAGGTGCGCGGCCGCGAACGTCGACAGCAGCAGGTCCGCCTCGAGCGTGCCGCGCTTCCGGCTCTGGTCTGCCCGAGGTGGAGGGGGGTTAGTAGTGGCTGGGAGGCGGCGGGAAGGAAGGGGGGGGGGGAAGAGAGAAGAAGAAGAAGAAGAAGGGAAGCGTACAGACGAGTCGCGCGCGCATCGTCGCGTCGTCCTCGCCCGTCCGCCGCATCGGCTCGATGCGGAAGTCGGTGCCCTCGAGCTCGCCGACGCCCATCTCGGCGGCGCCCGGCGCCGGGCCCTGGTCGTGGGACGTGCGCGGCTTGGCGGGCGGCGGCGAGTTGCCGCTGCCGACGCTGGCGCGCAGCGCGGGCGCGGTGCTGAGGGGACGACGGGGCGGTCGGGACGCGGGAGCGGGGGATGCAGAGGCGAGAGAGGCGGCGGCGAAAGAGGCCCGCAGACTTCGCTGCGCCGAGCGCAGGGCGATGCTGCGCGGCAGCGCGGCGGCGCAGGCGGGCGTCATGGCGTTCCGGTTCTGGGCGCCCGTTTGTCTTGGTGCGCGTCCGGGTGGCGGGGAACTTATCGCGTCCTGCTGGGTTCCAAACGCAGGCTCCGAATTTCCTCCGTGCGGGAAGGGCGCGCAATTGGCGGGAAGGCGGTCGGATGGGATTGTATACAGCTGGGCGATGTGTTCGTACAATAGCGGGAGAAGAGGAGGATGAGAGGAGGGGAGGGGAGAAAGCAGGAGATGGAGAGGGTAGAGAGAGAGAGAGAGAGAGAGAGAGAGAGAGAGACAGAGAGAGAGACACCAAAGCTCGCTATGCTGGGAACCGGCCTGAGCTGGCAAATCGGAGCTCTGTCATTCGCTGGGATGCACGTCATGCGAAATTGCCGACGGCCGTCTTCCGTCTCCGCCCGGACCCGCTCGCTTTCGGCCGCCGTTTGGTCTCTCGCTTGTGCTATATCGTGCCCGCTATACATATAATGCTATTAATACTCATACATATACAACATACGGGCCTCTGCCGGGCCAGGCCATATTGCTACCTGTTGATCGACCTGACATTCCTGGGCCTACGCGGGATTGGCATGACTCGGGGTGTCGAGATTGAAGAACCTCCCCTAACTCCCCTTAGACAAAGAGGTCGTCGTCGATACGTAGCACGCAGGCGCACTGCTTCCCAGCGGACCGGGGGAGGCAACGCGCCCCATGCTCCCAGACACCACCAGGACAAAATCCCAGCACCCGAGTGCGGAGGCATCGTGTCATGTGCTTTTATATTTCGCCTCCCGGCTCTGTGGCAGTAGAAAGGCGACCCTGAGGCGCCTCTGCACACAATGCGTACAAAACAAGCATGGAACGTCGTATCCCATGCAACCATATCCGTTTTTGGCCCTCCTCCCCCTATATAGCTATGTGTACTCGTGGCACGTCCTGCCCTCCGTCGGCCAACCCTCTCCTCGTGTTATTCCGAGCTTTATGAAACCGAAATCCTCGACTCTCGTCAACCGTGGAGGCGAGCCCACCGGTCCAGACGGGTCGAGCCAAAAGAATGCTGGGATGGGCGGGTCTGGCGTGGTCTAGTCTAGGTAGTCCCGTCCTCTCTGTTCGATCCGATCCGACCCGACCTAGCTCGCAAGATATCGTAGTCGATGTTCTCCGAATTCCGCATCTATCTAAAACACAGCACGCAACCGCAGAGTGTGCTTCGGCCGGCGCGCGCCGCCGCCCCCGCTGCCGTCGTCGCCGTCTAGATCAGGTGCTTCGACCGGAAGTAGGCACGCAGGTACATGATCTGCCAGCCCCATAGGACGACGAGCAGGAAGGTGGTGCCGATGCCGAACCACTTGACGCGGGTGTTGGTGCTCTCGTTGGTGTCGCGCAGCTTCTGCTCGCGGGCGCGCAGGTAGTCCATCTCGCGCACGATCTCGGCGATGGACTCCTCGATGCGTCGCAGCTCCGTCTCGGCCGGCCGCAGCTTCTCGTTCGCCTGGATCGCCGACCAGTCCTTGGCGTCCGCCCCGATGTCGATGTCGAGTTCCACGTGCCGTATCGGGTTGTTCATCCGCGCTGGTTTGAATTCGTTAAGAGCTGCCTACTTAGCCCTGCCCCTCCTTTTTTATACTCACACATAGAGAGAGAAAGAGAGGTAGGGGCAAGGAGAAAAAGGGGGACTGAAATGGGCGGGGAGAGGCTTACAGCTGGTCATGATGTTCTCGAAGCACACGTCGAAGGCGGCGTCGGCGTGCGAGGTAAAGACGGTGCGCTGCTCGCCGACTACGTCCTTGGGCTTGCCGTACTCGTTGCCGACGTTGTCGAGGATCTACGCGAGTCGCGTAAGCGGTGGTCAGTCTCGGACGTGTAGGCTCAACGTACGTGCATGTTGACGACCATGCCGTCACCCTTGCTCCCGCTGACGGTGGCGGTCACGACCACCAGCGTGTCCTTGGCGACGAAGTTGCGTACGCATCGTTCGGTCTTCTTATCGCTCTGGCTGCGTGCCTGCAGGTCGAATTTGAGGGCGTGGACGGAGACGACAAAGAGCACGAGGCGGCAGACGTGCTGCAGCCAGGCGCGTGGCAGGGCCATGGTGTCGTCGTCGGTGTGCTGTTCGGTGTTCTTCTAAGGAGGAGGAGGAGGGACGCGCGCGGGAATTATCATCTATCATGCACCGGTAACGGCGTCGAATGTGTGTGAGCAGGTGAGCAGGTGGTGGAGGTGTCTGGCTGTATTGGCCACCTTCGATAGAGGACAGGTGGGTTGGACGGTAGAGAGGCGTAGCAGGGACAAGCAAGCTAATTCAGTCGAGAGGAGCGCTACGCTCACTGGCCGGGCCGCGAAGGACTGGCGAGCACCTGGCAGCCTTGGACCTGGAGGATTGGAGGGGGGTTGTACTGAGTACCACCACCATGGCATCACGTACACATTTTATCGAAGTACCTGATACCTACATATCCACGCGCATGCAAACGGATAATGTAATACGTGTTCAAGTTCTACGCCAATCAAAGCATTCCATCTCGGCCGATCTGCAGCCTTGCAGCTCAGCCTTGGATCACGTGATTTGCATCGGCGCATTGGCCAGTCAGCTGCCCGGTCTCCACGCCAGCTTCCCGCTTGTAGCTCGGTACCTATTCCTATCCCCGATCTTATCGTTTTCGCGTTCGCGCACCTTCGACAACCTACCCTCTCTTCTTCCTCTTCCTGTCCTGCTTCCTCTCGCAACGCCACAGCCATTGACACCTCGCCCACCCAACCCCGTATCCTACACCGGTGTCATCGCGGACAGCATCACCGCCAAGATGCCTAAATGTAAGCTCTCTAGCTCATATTTGCCTGTACAGACACTGTCCTTTCCTTTCCCTCCGTAACCGCTAAACTCCTACTACCACGACCTGTGCTAACCCACCACTCTCATCTCCATACAGTCTTCTGCGACTACTGCGATGTCTACTTGACGCACGACTCGATGAGCGTGCGCAAGGCTCACAACAGCGGCCGAAACCACCTGCGCAACGTCGTCGACTACTACCAACAGATCGGCCACGAGAAGGCTCAGTCCGTCATCGACTCCATCACCTCCTCCTACGCCGCCGAGGGCCAGGCCCACGCCAATCCCATGCTCCCCCAGAACCAGCCCGGCGCCCACGGCCATCCAGGCGGCTTCCCGCCCCCGCCCCTCCCCTTCAGCTTCCCCGCCGGAATGCCTCCTCCGCCTTTCCCAGGCATGCCGGGTGCGCCACCACCCCCCGGCGGCTTTCCCCAGGGTTTGCCTCGTAAGTGACTGACTCCCCCATCATCCTTCTCATGTCCTCCTGGCTTTCCATGGCGGCGTTTGCCGGAGACGGAGACGAGAGAGGCGGAAAGAAACAGCCTGCTAACACTCGACAATTACAGCTCCCCCAGGTCAAAGTGGCCGAGGATTGCCACCACCACCCTTCCCCCCGGGGCCTAATGGTCTCCCTATACCGCCCCCGGGCGCCGGCCTGCCGTTTCCTCCGCCAGGAGGCCTGCCGTTCCCACCTCCTGGTGCCGCTGCTGGCGCCGGCGCTCCGCCCTTCCCATTCCCTGGAATGCCGCCACCAGGACAAGTCTTCCCCGGCGGGCCGATCCCCCCGGTGGCCCCTGGTGGCTTCCCCCCTCCACTTGGTGGACCGCCCGGTGCCCCCGGAGCCCCTGGGCGGTAGAACTGCGAGAGAGAGGACAAACCGTTACGATGGTATTGGCAAGAGCCGGGAAAGTCGCCTAGAAGATGACCGCCCCGACAGGGGGACAACCGCAAGGGCAATTAGAGGCGCCCCTCAAGTACGATAACCCGCAAGCTTCTACTGTACTATTATTCCCATTAACACTATTGTGCGAGGAAGAGAAGGGAGAGTGGGGAGGGGGGGACATAGGACGGTTTAGGACGCGTATTCCCGCTCGAGGGCGACACCTCTGGCCCGACCGGCAACGAACTCCACGTTTAGCGAAAGGCCTACCGTCTCGAGCGTACGTGACGATGCGCGGATAGGAAGAGAGAAGCTAATTCGAGACACTCTCGTTGCGGCTCCGTCGCGTCTACGAATTGGGCGGGTTTGCAAAAGATAAGCCTTATTGTGTGTATTATGTGTATCTACCTGTGCGCGCGCGCGCTCTGACAACGTGGCCGGGAAAAGGCAGGACGCACGGCTCGACTGGACGGACACGATTGGACCGGAGGAACGAAGACGGGAGAAGAAAATGAAAAAGGAGAGAGAGGGTGGTACGGCAACGAAAAGGGAAAGGCGGAGGGGAGAACAGGAGTCTACTCGATAAGCAATGATGCCATCATTCCCAAGCAGATGAAATTCGTCTCCGTAGTCCTACTACCCCCCCCTCAACGCCGCGAGAACTACTTAATCGGCGGCTGAGCACCGCCTACCTACTGACTCCCCTATGCGTGCATTCGGGGAGGTGGCCGGACAGGGGGGATGGATGTCCCTGAGGAGACTGAGAGTAGATTCGTAAGCACACTGAGCCGAGACGAGGCGAGCCAAATGGAGGCAGCACGACGTGACGTGTCTGTAGAAGGAGCCGATGGGTTAGAGGGAGGGGGGATAAGACTTGACTGGGTAGGTACGTAGCTACGGTCGACGAGGGAGTAGGGGGGAGTAGAGTAGAATAGAATAGAATAGAATAGAATAGAATAGAATAGAATAGAATAGAATAGAATAGAATAGAATAGAATAGAATAGAATAGAATAGAATAGGACGGGACGCGAACACGACGCATCAGCGCGCGGGGATAGAGCGCGCGGCGCCCAGTCTGGCGGCGGTGCCCCTGGGAAGTGGTGGGTTGGGGGTTGACCGGTCGCTCGTCCCACGGGGCAGACAAACGAGCCACCGCCCTCCCCGCCATCTTAGACAATGCATGGGCAACTCCTGCGTAGCTCTACTCTCACTAACACATACCTGCAGCCCTCTCTACTGGGAGGTCTAAATCCGGGGGTACAAACTAGACAGACAAGAGAACACAGGATGCACGGGGTACGTGTAGGGGAGAGGAGGGGGGGGGTGCCATGCGCAGCATGTCGTGCGGAGCTGTATTGTATTGTATTTTATCGTATCGTAACCTGCCTCTCTCTCTTTCTCTCTCTCTCTCTCTCTGGCAAACCAGCGCGATGGATGAACAGATACATGTAGACGGAGGACCGGCGAATTCTCAGAAACGACGCGCCGGGGGGGGGGGGGCAAGCCGCGTGGCCTAGACGGTTGCGCCTCAGCCCGGACATTAGGAAAGGAAAAGGGGACACGGGAAAGGCACAGGGCAGGAAGAGGAAAGAGGGGAGAGGAAGCAAAAAGAACCGCGTTCTCCGTAGCTGACTCACGGGACCTAAGTAGCCGGGTTAGCTAGTCCCGCGAGCACTGCTAGCTGTCCCTCGACTCTCCCTCCTCGTTACCCGACCAGGCCCTGTGTCCTTTTTTGCTTTCTCGTTCGCCACCAGTGGCACAACGAGCGCAGAGCAGGGGGGTGAAAAGGGGTGCGGGGGGAATACATGTTGAAAAAAAAAAAGGCGAGACGGATTAGAAAAGAAGAGAAACACCTCGTATTTCCACCTCTCCTCCCCTCTTCCTTTTTTGTTTATATCCGGCTGTTGTTCGTATCCTTGGCGCAAAGCAAAGCGCGTCAAAAAAAAAAAAAAAAACCACGGCACAGTCCGAAATTCCGACTTCGTAAAATAGCAAAAAAAAAAACCTGCTGCGCGGGGGGGAATATGCACGGGTCGTCTTCGTCGTTGCTCATGTAAGTCGTAAAAAAAAAGAGCCCTAGCCTGATGAGTCGTCATGGCGGGGATTTCTGTGTAGATAATAAAAGAACGTGATCTGGACGGTTCGAGAACGAGAATAGGGGAAGCCGCAAATCGATGGAAACCTTGAGGTGACTGCGCGTCTAGGACCACGAACAGCTCGTCGCGTCGGGCAGGCGAGGCTAGAACCGAAGACCCTCTCGACGGGCCTGCGTTCCCGGCTGGGGGCGGTGCGATTTGCCGTCCACCGAGGGCCGGATTTCCGACGGGGTCTGGTAGGAGGGCCCCGTGTAGCTGTTGCGCTTGATCACCTCGCCCACGCCGTCTCGGACCTCTCGCGGCCCGCTGATCTTCTGCCGGAGAGCCTCGGTCCGCTTCTGCCGCCGGTGCTCGCTCAGCCGGCGCTGCAGGTTCTGCGGTCGATACTGCTCGAGCTTGTCCTGCCAGCCGGGGAATAGTCTGCGACCGCGGTCGTCCACGCGTTTCTCTGCTCCCCAGGCCCGGCGGCTGAGCGTTTCCGGCGCGGTAGACGGCCGCCCTTCGGCGTCTTCGCGAGAACGAGGCTGGTCATCCCACTCGACGCTACCGTAGCTATCGCGATGCCTCATCACGCGAAGATTGCCGCTCGGCGTGCGCTTGATAGTCCGACGCTCCGGACCACGCTGGCTACGAGTGGTATAATGGTCTTCGTCCTCGATGGGCAGGATCGAGAACGTCCGTCTTATCTGTTCACTCAAGCTTCTGCGTCGACCGGCCGCATAGTTGACTTGTGGGTAGCGGTAAATCTTCTCCACCTCCGCGGGGATATCGTAGGTATCGCGTGGCCAGTCGTCGTCGTCGTCGTCGTCGTCCATGCCATCCTCGAAAGGGGCTTGCCAATGTAGGTGTGGCTCTGGTTTTTCTAGCGGTCGATCGTCGGCTGCCGGATACCTTCCTAACTTGACGTTTTTGCTCCTGTCGGGCTCTGGATTTTCGGCCGCGTCTTTCCGAATCGTCTTGGACAAGGACAGGGTCCGCGAGAGGAAGCCGGACGGGCGGCCGGTTTCCGGGTCCTTGCGGAGGCTGAAAGCTCGACGCATGAGGGAAGGCTGATTCTGGGCCTCTTCGTGATAATTCCCCGTCGTCCTCTCGTTCTCCGTGGCGGGAGTGAGTCCCGAGGGGTTATCTAGGACATGCTTGATCGTGGGAGGCGCGGGGGGCGCACGGGGGTTTCTTAGAGGGGAGTCGACATCGTCCATCGAGAACTGGGGGTGCGGAGGTGTCACGGGAGCTCCGCCTGGGTCGGTTGCTGTGATCTTGGGAATGTCTGGGAACTTCCCTGTTTCCGTGGCGCTTGCCGTTTGAGCTGGTCTCTCCTCCCGCAAGACGTTTGCGATGACTGCGGGATCGATGGGCTTCGACATGTGATGGATCATCAAAACAGACTTGTTCTGGTGCGGATAGATGTTCACCGCCAACGCTTCCGAAATATCTGCTGCGGAGTGCGTTCCGTTTGTCTCGACGGAAGCCTGGGAAAATGGCGTGTTGTACGCGGTTAGGCGTACGCCGAACAACGGGTCCCCGTTATTATCGACGAGTGGCTTGTGGTCGTGGGAAGCATCTCTGTGCGACTCGACGGATAGAACGGGTCGAGGCTGTCTCTGATCGGGATGGTTACGCATCTCCTCGACGGGAGGCGCACGTTCCACAGTAATAGGCGGTGGTTGGCGCTCGGGGTGGTGCTCCGACTGTTTGCCCTGCTGTTCCAGAAACGCGTCGTGCGCCTTCAAGCTTTCGGCAGTTAGCGAACCGGATCTCGAGCCAGCCCTAGACCCATTCCTGCTGGTGGGAGCCGAGAGCGAAGATCTGCGCACTGGGACGATCGGAGGATAGTCCATCGTTAGCTGGTCCCCCGCGGACACCCCGTCGGATTCCGACATAGACCTGCCCCTCCCAGACGGTTTGTCGAAGTAGGGGGTGGAATCCATCACTTTCGATAGCGGTGCCGAATTGATGCTATTGCTCCTCCTCGTGTGGCGGCTACTCGTCGATCGGAGAGAGGGCGCGCCTGTAGCTTTGATAGAGGCCCTACGGTCGGGGATGACGACCACGGGAATCCCTCCGTTCCTCCAAACTTCGCGGCGGGCCTTCCGGCTGCTGATGGAATTCGCAGTAGCGGTAGAAGCGAGGCTTTCCGACCGTGCAGGACCGTTTATAGCTCTTGCGGGAGCCCTCGAACGCTTGGCATTGTCGACCTGGCGGAGGGACGTACTCGCCGAGGAAGTCGAAGGCGAGAGCTCCGAGTTGGAACCTCTCAGAGCTGGCTGTTTCCTGACATGACGCAGCGTCTTCCGTCTCTGGGGGGGCGTCTCGACTAGGATGGCTTCCACAATCGTAGAGACGGTGGATTTCGAGGACATAATCGAAGACCGTCGGAGATCGGTGCTAATGGATGACGCGGAAGTAGAGGGTGCGGTTGATGGCTTGTCTCTATTCGCGGAGTCTAGTGGCAAGGGCGAGGGATTCGTGTATAGTCGGTCAGATAGGGGAATGGACCTCAGAGCCTTTGTCGCGTTGGTAGGGGCGATTATCACATCGTCAACCACCTCCTCTCTTCGTCGATTTGTTTTCGGTGGGACACGTCGCTTCTCCACCCATAGATTCCTCGCGTAATCTGCGTCCCATTCCAATTCGACCTCGCTAGGAGTGCCCCATTCGCTCCCGAAAGCCGAAGAATTTCGTTTCGACTTTGGCGTAAGGCTCTCGTCGGACTCAAGCCCCAGGCCTAACCCCACATTCCGCGTTTTTCGTTGCGTTGTATCACCTCCCACAGCGCTCTGGGAGAGGCGGGACGAAGAAGACAACGGCGGACGGGGGGTCGATAGCTTGACGTCTTCTTCTGACGAGTCCGGGTCCTCGCGCGCCGTCTTGAACGATGCCGAGCGAGAAGTCGTGGTCGCCTTGGATGGGATGCGATCGAAAATAGGGGGACGACGGGATCTCGGTCGACGCTCAGCCTGCGGAGGGGTGACATCCGGAGTGGGCGGACTCGTCTGGTTGGGCGGGGTTCCCGGTATTGTTCTCGCAGAGCCAGCCGTGGCGCTCTGCGCCGGGCTGTCGACGTAGGTTAGGCTCGAAGGCTGAACGGGGTGACGACCTGACGAGGCGCACGAGTGCGCCGGCGGGGTCGGAGGAAGGACGGGCCCAGGCGTGGCGAGGTTGGGGCTCTCGTGCTTAGGGTTTGGCGGAGTGGCCGGTTGCTTGGCTTCGCTCGCGCACGATTCGCGGATTGAGGTGGTGCTGGTGGAAGAGAGGTCACGGGAAAGCCGATTCGCGGTCGTCGACGGAACGCGGTCGTTGCTCGGGTGCGGGAGAACCTTGTGCTTCCTGAAGGCCCGCTGGGTGCTGCTGGTGGGCTTGCCGAGGACGAGGCCACGGTTCAGAGGTTCGAAGTAGAGCGCGGTCGACGCGGCGGACGGGACAGTTCCGACGGAAGCGAGCATCGTCGGCTGTGATGGGAGGGTGTGTATCATGGTTCCCGACGCTCGCTCGGGGAACCAGAGGGAGGATGGGAAGTGTTTTCCGAGTGCTTAACTAGGTTGCACCAAGGCAGATATTCTTTCGCACATCGTCGACGAGGAGGAGGGCAGCGTGGAGGCAAGTAGCGGAATCGTTGGTGCGCGTATTGCAGAATGGGCTCAGCCGCTCCCTTCGAGGCCGTGCCTCCTTATGCGGTCTGCAAACCCCTTACGGGCCTGCAGGATGGATCAGGCAACTTCGCGTGGTGCTGGACGGGATGGCGGGCGCGTCGGATTGGACTGGACGGTGGTGAGGAAATGCACCCATGAACAGATTGGACCACTCACAGCGGGACTGGCAGGCTGGTTTTGGAGACGGGGGCAGAGGACTGACGACGGAGACACAGCGCGAGAGGCACGGACCCTAAGCGCCGTCGAGGAAGCAGACCGCTATGCTGTGCACTGCGAGTGGAGGGATGGGACGGCCGAGGGGTCCATGAAGGACGACGAGGAGTGCGAAGAGTGGGAGAGGAGAGAACAGAACTGGGAGAGGCCCAGAAGTAGAAAAGAAGCACGTAGGTTGACGGCGGAGGCAGCAAGACAGGTGGGAATGACAAGTTTGCGACGGCGACGGGATTTGCAGGGAGGCGGAGGGAGACGGGGCGCGATCTAGGTACCTGCCTTAGGTACCTACCTTAGGTACCTACCTTAGGTACCTACCTAGGAGGTATCTCTTAGATGTGTGGTTGTTGGCGTGGGTGCGGGCGTGCGGGTGCACCTATTTTCCAGTTGGAGGAGGCACCTAATCTAGCCTAACCTACAGGTACCTGATGTACCTACACTGATCGGGACACATCGGGCTGGACTGGAACCCAGGCATGCCGCGTAGGAGATACCTGTAGGTACCTCTAGGTAGGTACCTCTCTCTCTACCTTGGGTTAGGTACGTTGGCAAAGGCGTGCCGCAGTCATCGATTGCGGATTTCCTCAGGTGTGTTGTAGGTACATCGAGGAATTGGGTCTAGGTCCTGCTTCTCCCTCCTGCGTAATAACTCCCTTCCGCCGCGCAATCTCTCGCTCCCCCCCCTCGTTCAGGCTCAGGACTTGTCAGTTTCCGTCCCACTAGGATGCCAGCCACAGCAGCCCGCATCCAGGATGAGCGACGGGTCGAAGCGACAACGTCTGCTCGCGCCCTAGAATGGCGGAAGGGGAAACGGGCACAAGAGAGGGGGGGGGAGGGGTGGCTGGGAGGTGCCAATCTAGCTACGGTCTGAACCGCGTCCACTGCATCCCCGATGCGGCTTAGTGTACATGCACATACTTAAAGTCCAAGTCTGGCGGACGGGCGCATGGGCGGGGGCAGGGGGTGGTCCCGGAGTACCCATCCGGCGTCGTTGCTGGGGATAGGTACCTTGCGAGGTGCTGTATACTTTAGGTACCTATATAGGTAGATACCTGATATAGATATACTATTACTACCACCTAGGTAGGTACCTATCTACCTAAGATAGTATGGACCTACCTCCTACCTTAGGTTAGGTACCTATCTATATGTAGGAGGTACCCAAGGTGTGTGTCCCGCTCTGCTAGCCCGTTGCCGGTACCCAAGTACACGATGCGATTAGCGACGACTTGGGGCATGGTCCGTTTAGATCTGGGCCAATCCCGTTTGTCACCTGTCCTCCCTCCCCGGTCTCCCCCCATCCCCCCCCATCTTCCCCCTCCTCTACCTGCACTACACCACCACGTCTGCGTCTACCTACTGCGTATTCTGTACCGGCAGCCACTTACCTACCGCTGCCCGCGACGGCGACACATGCTCTACGCTGCGAAGCACCGGGCACAGAGACAAACGGGCACAAAGGCACACGGGGCACCCGCCGAGATGCAATCAGAGGCAGATCGAGAGGCAGAGAGAGGGGGGGGGAGAGGGGATGGCCTGCCCGCTACGTCTACGTCGCATCGCCCGACCGCGTGTGTGTATGAAATTTCTTAGTCCGCCGTACTCCTGCCTGCCTGCAGTCTGTCTGCAGCAGTCTGCCCGCATCCTCTCGACACCAACTCTGGATGCTGCGTCTGTAAGTGGATAGCGACCGTCCGCTGCAGCCACTCCTGGGGTCACCAGGACAAATGAGCTGCTTGGGCTGCACGAGGCTGTTCGGCCTCATGCCAGACCCTGCCTAGCTCGCTGCCACCCGGGGGCGAATCACATCCTGCAACGCCCCGCGACACCGGACACACCCCAGCCCGATGTGCGATGTGCGATGTGCGATGTGCGACCTCATCCCAACACCACCAGAAGATGGGGGGGCGGGGGCAAAACGAACCGAAATCCGAACAGAGGGACGCCCAGTGCTACACCCACACGTACAGCGGCAAATCCTGAAGACCACGCGTCCTCTGCCCTCCCGTCCTCTTCTCCTACAGATCTCGAGTGCGAGAGGCGAGAGATGAGACACGGTCCCAGGTAGTGCCTGTGCAGCTAGTGCTCACCGAACGCTAACCCCAGCTCCGACATCATTGGCATGAACGACAATTCTCAGGGATATGGCAATGGCGGGGACATATATATACATCGTGTAGGGTCGCCTGGTGGTGGTTGGGGTATCGGAATAAAGAATCGCTCGAGCGACCGAGTCGATCAGCCATTCTATCAATCTGTCAAAGCAGCAATGGCCGCAGAGAGTCGTGGCCCAACTCCTGATTCGACGAGCCCGGACCCAGCTGTCACCTTACCGCCATCCATTGGAAAAAAAAAACACAGATGTGGTGTGAGGGGATTCCCTCCTATCGAGCCACAATGTCGTCCCCTGCACTGTTGCGCGCCCCTTTTCTCATACAGTCCGGATGACTACTCACGTCGAGCGAATCGATCAGAGGAAAAAGGGGGCAGCACTCCGAAAAGTCCCATGCACATGCGGGACGTGTTTCGAGAAAGTCCATCGCTTCTACAGCCTATCCTCTCGTCAGTCGCTCGGGTATGCCGAGAGAGCGTGCAGATCCGTCCTTATCTTAACCCATAGCCAGTTCGGCAGTTGGCAGTCTACCTCCCCGTCCCGTCCCCTCCGCCCAGTTCGTCTAATCCACCACGTGGAATTGCCACATCAGCCTTCGATCCGCGGAATCAAAAGATGGCTGCATTTTGCAACCGCAATCGACGTGCTCGACGCCAGATCGAGATTCCGGCGCGAGTCTCTGCCTGCACTGGCACACCGACCTCCCGGGTCGCGTAATTAACGATGCCGATGCTAGATGGATCGACCGTTGGCCGCATCGGCTGGAACATACCATCCCTCGAGATAGTAAAGCATACGATGCCACGGGTCCGCACCCGGCAGAGAGACTCGACTATTTGCTGAGAGGTTGGTCTTTGCATTTCTAGCTAGCGGCCCCCCCCCCCCCCGCGCCCAATTTCTATGTATGTCATCGTTACGATGCAAGCATATCCGACTCGTTACCTAACGAGAACGAGCTCGATGACATCTCCACTATGCAACCGAGTATTGACGTCCAGTCGGGATGGGCTCGCAAACATAGCATCCCCCTATTCGTGGGACGCAAGTCTCCGACGATAAGCTTAGCATGGGTTATGACGCAGATACAGACGGTTCTGCCTATAGGTTCGACCACGGTCTTGTCCCAATCCCAACAGAAGGGCGACCGCCCGCTCCGTAAGCTTAAGATGTATAAATCCTCTATCACGACCGGTACACGTGTGCAATTTTAAAGTAGTCCACCTATCGACTTAAGTGATGTTATAGAACCGGCTGTCTAGACATGTTGGCCGCTCTCCTCGTGGCCGGCTACTTAGCCCATGCTACAGCTCATGAAATACACGATGATCAGAAAGCCCTATCCGGGCCTCATCAATCGTTGTGGTATAATGTTTTGCCTGGAGACGGCGGAACACAGGTCAGGCATACACATATGTATGAATGAAATGAAAACTGACTAGCAATTCTAACAATGCCTCTGTACCACAGGCAGACTCGGTATTCTCGGGGATTTCTACATTTGGGCGCCTACCGTATCAGCCGTGTCTCAGCAATGGGGACGTTCATTACGACCTCGCCTTCATAGGTTAGTTGACGAAGTCCGGTCTGCTTTTCCTGGACTAACGGGAGCCAAAAGGTGCCCCGTTCGATACCGGTACATCCTACCGGCCCGGCGCACGATTCGGCCCCTCGGGGATTCGCCAAGGGTCTCGACGTCTCAATCTTTAGTACGGCCCATCCCCTCCCCAAAGTCGATGTGTTCTATATCACCCACGTGCTGACGTATCCGCATGACATATAGCGGAGGATATAATGTCCCCCTTGATACAAACCCCTTTCATTCCTGGGCGAAGGTCCTCGACTGCGGGGATATCCCGGTCACATCGTACGAACCGGGCTCACCCCTCTTAACACAATCTCATCAGATCCTACAGACTGATCGAGACATAGATATGATAATACCTGGGCTCTAAAGCAGATCGAAGAAGGCCACTACCGCATCCTATCCCGAGCACCCAAAACAAACGCAGATAAGCCCGGGCCGTCTAAGAACGGGAAGACCTTACCGCGCGTCATCACCCTCGGGGGTGACCATACCATCACTCTTCCCTTGCTCCGTTCCATCAACCGAGCATATGGCCCCGTGTCTGTCATCCACTTTGATAGCCACCTGGATACTTGCAAGTAGCCGTTCTCTAGTCCTGCTGGCTCTCTCGATTCCTTTACGTGTCATACCATGCCTCCTCCCCCACCACTACCAACAATCACGAAAGATAAAAGGGTTTAGCTTCAAACGAGCAATGTAATGACCGGATGGCTAACCTTCCGTTTGTCTCTCCCTCGCTTCCCCGACCATAGGGCGTCCCAAAGTCTTCGGCGGCTCGCCCTCGGAGGTGGCTAGCATCAACCACGGGACATATTTCTACCATGCGGCGCGCGAGGGCCTGCTGGCTAACGACAGCAACGTACATGCGGGCATCCGGACGACGCTGAGCGGACCGGGGGACTACGAAAACGACGGGTACTGCGGGTTCGAGATCGTGGAGGCGCGCGAGATCGACAACGGAAATGGCACCGCGGGCATCGTGCGGAAGATCCTGGACCGCGTCGGCACCGAGAAGCCCGTATACCTGTCGCTTGACATCGACACGCTCGACCCGGCGTTTGCGCCCGCCACAGGGACCCCCGAGACCGGCGGCTGGAGCACGCGGGAGCTGCGGACGATACTGCGCGGCCTCGAGGACGTGAATTTAGTGGCGGCAGATATCGTGGAGGTTGCGGTGAGTAATAGTGATTTCATTTGGCTGCATAGAGGCGCTGTTTCAGTGTTGGTGGAGCAGGAAGTTATAGTCTAAAAGGGTGTGGGGGAAAGGGGGCGTGGTAATCAATAATGGGTAATTGATGGTCTTGATGAATCAGCCCGCCTACGATACGAACGCCGAGCACACGACGATGGCAGCAGCAGATGCGCTGTTCGAGATCATGAGCATTATGCTTAAAAAGGGACCGCTCAGCAACATGGTGGCCCGAGACGAACTATGAGCCTGGTGCTCTCTCCCCGCTCCTTTAGAAAGGCGACTCGAGATGGACTTCGAAAGGGGGAGTGGGGAGGACGGCCGTTGGGGTGGGGGACCAGCAGGGCCGTCTTGTGGTGGACGAGAAAGTAGAGAGAGATATTACGTAGGCCCAGCGGACTTTGTTTCAAAAAAAAAAAAAAAAAGGAGATGGCACTGCGTAGAAACAAGCTGGAAAAGGAGAAGAGAAAGAGGCTACTACGGTTCAGGGTCTAGTGCACGGTGGCCGCGACATGGGGTGGTCACAAGGAAAGAGGGCACTAGAGGAAGAAGACTACGGTTCATATGCATGAGGCAGCTTGGGTGAAATCGACCTTAACATTCCGAGACTTAACACCAACTTGGTTGCGGGAGTTACCAATACAAGCAAGGTCCACCAATCAGTCTTCCTTTTTTTTTGGGTTTTTTGGGTTTTTTGGTTTTTTCCTCCTGGTTGTAATCAGCCACACCTCTTCCAGGCCAGAAACCCCCAACTCATCCAGCTGTGGTTATATCGCGCGTCGTTATTTGCTTGCTGGAGACGGCTTGGTTAGGGGTGGTGATGGTCGAATGTTCTTTGCGACTCTCGCTCGCTCTCTTTACAAAGACGCCGTCTCGCCTCCCTGGATGCTCCCGCCATCCTCGGCGTGGTTCACAACCTGACGCATGGGAGAAGGCTGGTGCGGGGCGGGAGCATCGAGGCGGGGCCAGGTGGCCCACCAGTCGTTGACGTCGGAGTCAGCAGCGAAGGGGTACTTGGGCAGGCCGGGGGGGCAAGCCGTGTGGGTGGAGGCGGCGGCCTCGGCGGCGGCCAGGCGGGCGAAGGCGTGGTACTGGCGAGGGTCCACGGTGCCGCCGACGGAGGAGGCCGGGGCGAGGATGCGGTTGCCGTGGTGGTCGAAGCGGCAGCCGTAGCTGGAGAAGACGGTGCCCCCGAAGACGAAGCCGCCGCAGCCCAGCTCCTGGGTGAAGAGCAGGCAGCGCGCCGACGAGGCCTGCTCGCAGGCCCCGGGCTGCTGTGAGGCCATCGCCGTGTCACAGCGTCGCAGCCGGTACGCGTGGATCTGGTTGTGGTTGCGGCAGATGCCGAGCTGAACCTGACACATCGTGAAGATGGTTTGGGGTGGTGGTGGTGGTAGAGTGTAGAGAGGTTGAATGTGGTAAGATGGGTAGACGGGCAAGCAAGTCGAGGCTTGGACTGAGCTCAGGCGAGGCTGCTTCAGCTGAGAGAGGTTAGTCGACGAGTTCGTACTCAGTGGGAGTAGGAGAGGTTGGTGACAGAAGACGAGGAAGAAGGAAGCCTGTCGTACTTGGAGTGATAACAGTGGTGATCGAGATCGAAGACGAGAACTGGTCTGGAGACTTGGGTTGGAATGTGGGAAAGAAGAAAAGGGATCTAGTCGAGGAGGGAAGACTTTCTTTTATATGTTTCCAGAGAGGCCCCAGACCGCCCGCGAGGGTCAATATGTCAGCATTCACCTCCCCCTTTGACTTTGGGCCTCTGGGCGAGCCACGAAAGCCTATAATGCGTACGCGCGGCCAGGTGGTGAAGAGAGAGGGGGGGGGACTAAGTAGGTGAGGAACCCCTCTTCGGAGTCAGTCCGCAGTGGTTACGGGAGGAAGCAGCGCTGGGGATATTCACAAGGCCTATGAGCTGACGAGTCTTGCGGAGGTAGGGTTGGTCAGCGGTGAATCTGGGCTTCGTCGACTCTTCGTCCCCGTCTCGACGCACTGTCCAGAACAGTGAATCGGTAGGTTGCAGCGGTCAGGATGTCAGGTCGAGGGAGTCGTCGGATGAAGTCTAATGAGAGCACACAGGTCACCCGCCTGGGGTGAAAGTCTACTGTGAGACTATTCGGAGGGGGCGGTGCACTCTCATACCGCTATGCCTACGAGTCCGAGCGGCTCTGGACGGTCTACCCTAGGTATTGCGAAATATGCTGAGGAGCACACAGAGCACAGCCTCCCTACGATTGAGTTCATCATGATTCTCCCGTAGCTACGCGTTGCCAGACCATCGCTTCTACCTATTATATTATAGACACCTTTGGGTCACGTTATAGCCGGAGTCGGAGGCCCGTGAAGACCGTCTGGTTGCCGTGCGGCCCCTACGTGTCACGTCAGACGTCAAAACGTAAACGTCTACCCCTCCGTCGGATGCCCATGGGTTAGGGTTTCTACATGACTCCATCGCATTCAACATAAAGTTAATACTGACACGACGTAGCGCCTGTCACCGGGTCCCTGGAAATGACTGCTTAGGATATACACTTTATCCGGACTACCGATGGCATCCGCGGGCTTGCTGTTTTAGAGTTGCGTTCTACTGCGCGTCGAGGCTACGGCTGTCTATCGGAGGCCCGGCAGGGGTCATGGGCAGCGGAGAACGATAGGTCTATAGTGGGAACATGTCGGGTCGTAGATCCTGCCGAGGGGCGTACCACGGCGCCTTGCAGCGGACCGGGAGACGAACGACAAGGTGGGGAAGATGGAGGCGACTCGGTAGAAAGCCCATACTTACATCCGCGCCATCTCGCCCAGCTGGTTTCAAGTGACGTGTTGGTCGACGGGTTACGCGTCGAATAGCGGACGGTGTGAGCGGGGTGGGCTTATCGATTCGCTAGAAACCAGAAGAAAGAAAAAGAGAGTACGGGGCTGACCAGGTTATGGTGTGTACATCCAACCTGGCTTAGGTAACTGAGGCTGTGCTCTCTGTAGGGTTCGGGGGTGCAAGTCTACGTGGAAGACGAGTAGTCAGACAGCAGTAGTAGTAGGCATTGTTCAACCACCCATGGGCACCCCTTGACGAGGCTACCTCGGGGCCTCCAAAGAGGCACTGAGGGCGTGCTGAGCTAGGTTTCTCCCTCCGCCGGTCGAGGGCGGTTCCCAGTTCTTCCGTTCGTAGTAACTTATCCCCCCCTCGGGGAAGTTCTGCCGCGCTGCTGTGACGCTTGAGCCGAGTGCCGATTCTGCGATTACCTAATTCCTGATGCCAGCTGGCTCCCTCTGGGTACCCCCGAAGAAGACGGCTACCTAAGCATCTCCGTGAAGCCTCAACGCCTGGCAGAAGCTCGATGTGGCCGTTCCAGCTTGTGATCCGATGGCGTACCAGTCGCTTTGCTATTACACTATTCGGATGCTCGGAACCTGGGTAGCTTGTAGATTGATGTAAGACGTCATTGTGTTGACGATGCTGCCGCTGCATATCTTCCCTTCGGCGCTATTGGTTATCGGCCGAGGAGTTGGGAATTGCCTTATGGCCTAACCCACTCTCGTGACGGGTCTCGTCGATCTAGAGGCCCTGCGCTGTTAGTGTTTCTAAGTGTACACACCACATGTCGAAGAGTAAATGGTGGAGATGTTGGTTGATGACGATCACCTTCGCAGTGAATGCGTGCTTGGTGCATATTACTATTTCTAGAGGGCATACACGCGCCTGGATATGTGCGAACGTTGGCTAGGGGCCTAAACTAGGAGACAAGCTCTTCGAAGCTGTCTCGGGCACCAAAGAGCGGGGATACCAGATGGAAACCCATAGCAACTAGCGGCATAGCTAACCACGGAGTCCGGGAAGATCCGGGCTCTGAATGCATGCCCATATGAATTTCACTTTACTATCGCAATGTAAGGGATATTAGCCTCTTGTTAGATAGTCTTAGAGGAAGATGCCGTTTACTATTACACGCGCTTGCCGACAACATTCGCGGGTAGAATATGGCCTTGGTAATAGAGGCCATACTAAGCCGCTGCCTAGGCCGGTAACGATTTTCACATTCGACGTAATATGGTCGAAGCCGCGACGTCTATTAGCGCAGGCCGACGCGAAGGGCGTGCTGGGCTACTACGTCACATAGGTACATGATATCAAGCATACGTGTGTCTTCAGCTCATAGAGGCATGGCTCGCCTTCCCGACTGTCGTGTGCTATATGGGTGAGTTGAATACATTAAATACCCCCTTGGAACTCCCTTCCATCTTTGTCGAGTTGGAATCGAGAGTAGGCCTAAGAGCTCACTTACGTATCGCGACTATTCTTGCTACTTGCGATCGATCCGATTATTCTCAATCTTTTCGCTATCTTGTCCAATTCCCACCTCGTTGTTAATCTCTACATGATATATGATTATTAAAGCCGACTTTCTCGAGGGTTTTCTATAAGCCTACCTCAGTCCATACCTAGGCAGTCAACTATTCTACGTCTAGACTACTATACTATGATGGCACTAAGTAGAAGCACGAGGATGACGGCTCTCGCCCAGGTAGTAAATATGCCACGATCGCTTGCTTACCCTTCTACGTTCACATAACTTGTCAACTCTACTGACGCATATGAGGATAGAATATTCGGGCGGTCCGGTTTCATCTTATGACGTTGTTTCTATTCACCAAGACCGACTTTAAAGCGGTAATCCTGCCGCAAAGCTTATTCGCACTTGCAATATTTCCCATGAGGGTCCAGTCGGGACTGGAGCCGCGATATCTCTCTGGATTCATACCTCCGCGAATGCCGTACGCAGTGGCCTGGTTATGGCTACACTTGCTCGTCGAGAATATCTCGAACCAAAGGCTGCCCGCCTCTATATTGGAAGACAAGGCCAACAAGCCGTGGCGGCCCATACCATCCGGCCGGCTCACCGCGGCGGAAGCAAAAGGTCTCTTGCGAGCACTTGTCCCGCTAGCCCTTCTTGCGAGCGTATTGATGGGCAGTTTCACACCGAGCGCAGCCCTCCTGACCCTGATCTGGTTATATAACGACCTGGAGGGCAGCAGCATTGATCCGTTGCAACGGAACGTGATCAACGCTGCTGCATTTGCGTGTTTTGGTTGGGGAGGTGCTGGCGTGCTTCTCTCGGGATCCTCTGAGAATGAGGAGCTACAGCGAAACTGGGGTGTGCTGACGACCGCTGCTGTAATGTCAACGATACATGTACAAGACTTTCCCGATATGGTTGGAGACACAGCTAGTGGTCGCAGGACGGCACCGCTCGTGTATGGCGAAGGGTTAGCACGTTGGAGCTTAGCTGTGCTAGTGCCTTCGTGGTCAATAGCCTGCTTGGTATTCTGGGGGGTGCCTCTCCTTGCTTGGGTGGCATTACTAGGTATGGCATCCATCATAGCTGCTTTTACTCTGACCCGGAGGTATTATGCTTCCGATGAGCTTGTATGGAAGTTGTGGTGCTTTTGGCTTTGCGTTGTGTATCTCCTACCATTGTTTAGCAATAGGATGGAGTAGGGTCAATACAACTGCAACACTCAGGCTCATTGTCGATCAATTTCTATTTATTCAAGTATACTCGATTCTCTTCAGATTTGTTTCTCGACTTGGCACTATTATACAGCGGGATATACTCATGGAATTTGGCCCACTTTTATGAATAATGACATCTGATATAGTGTCGAATTTATCTGTCTTAACTTACCAGAGTTAACTTTCAGCTACATACGTGAGGGGATGCTAGGGGATATGTCTTAAATCAAGGGGTTCCTATAACTAACAGGATGTATCCCCCTAAAATCCTCTACACAGTACTTGTGAGAGCTGGAAAGGTACCCCTGTGGTCTTTAACCACAACATCGTCTATCTTGGAGCTCCTGAATATATTTTTAACCTTGCCTGTATGTATGTGTTGATAGATCGGGGATATTGAAGGAAGGTCATGCGGCCCTTGACCAGCTAGAATGACCCCTTAACGGTTAGGTTACGATCTCTTATTGAACTTGTTTGCTATTACAAATGTAGTAATGAGGCGATATTTAGGGCTACACCTACCAAGTACAGCTTCCTCATACGTTATTTAAAAACGGATGATGCCTTAGGCAGGAGGCGCACTTATAGCTGTGTTGTCTTGAAGGTAAGGTAGGCTTGCTAACCTGGTATAAGAGGGGACATAACTTCGTGTTATCGGAGATGCCTTATTGACTCGGATATATATAGGATAAGTGTAAGCAGGTGAGCCTCAAGCGCCCCATGTAAGGCTTCTATGCTCAGACTTTTGTGAGAGATCTGTGACTTCTGGAGTTGGCTCTCTATCATACCTCATTAACATGTACCAATGCTCATCTTGTGTAGGTCTTTTCTTGTTCCTCTCTTAGGGTTTCCTCTTGGCAATGTTGCGGCGCGTATGGTACTAGACTGCTTGTCAGCTTTATCCTAACTTGTATGAAACTGCCCGTCTAGAGCTGAACTCGGCGTCTTGTCCATCTAGAACCATCTAACGGGTATATCTAGAGCATAAGCGCACGTTTCAAAGCTGGCTCTTTCTCAGGCTTTGTCACACGGGGATGGAACCCTGTACCAATAATCAGGTCATAAGGGTCAGGAGGACAATATCGGGTAGCAAGGCCGTTACCTCGGCGACCTACTAAGGAAAGTCCTAGATAAGCTACGGATAGCTTCGGTAGTAGGGTATAAAGGTACCAAGGTACGGAGATACCTCCGGAATATATTAGGACGAAATAGGGACTAGGAAACCTAGGAAGAGATAAGGACCTAAGAGACCCCTTATAGAATTAAAATAAGGCCCGAATTATTCTACTTCGCAGAATAATTCGGGCTTATTTTTAACGTAAACGCTAAAAATAATAACCTATCCAGAGGATAGAGAGATATAGAAAGTATACTTAGTTTATTTAATATTAATTTTTAGAGCTACGAACTTTATTTATTATAGAAAACCTAAAAAACGCAAGAAATTATATATAGAAAACTTATAATTCATACGAAACTATCTTTTATAAATTCGAAACTAGTTTAAATTTTTACGTTAACGTATATTATATTAAGTAGAGCGCACATTATTTAGGTTAAAAAACGTATATAGTAAAACGAATTTAAAAAGAATAAAATATAAAAGAAATCTAGTATAGAAAAATTTTTTTAAAGTTAAAATTACGTAGGTACGTAATTTCTATATTAAAAAAAGGCGCTATGCCTAATAAAACTACGAAACCCTTAAACTTATATCTTTATTACTTCTTTTTACGTTTCTTTTCTACTTTTTTCTACGTACCCGTATTTTTTTCTCGTAATATACGTAGGATTTCTCGTAATAATTCGTTACTAAAAAAAGCGTTAATATTTAATCCTTGTTACTTTATAACCCGCTCTTCCGCCTTCCGGATTACCTTTTTAATTTTCTTATAGACTTTATTAAAAGCCTACTTTAAATTAGAATTTCTACGCTAGCGTACTTTATTACGTATTAACGTACCTTTTTATTAATTTTTTTAGAATCGAAAGCTTTTTTTAATTCTATAAATTTAGCGAGCTTTAGCTCGGCCTTCCGGGATACCTTAGCGTAAGCGTAGTAGCCCTTATAGTAGTAATAGTAGCGATTATTTTTTATACTTATTAATTATCGCGTATACGTAACTTTCCGCGTTTTTTATACTATTTTATATACCGGTTCTTTTTACGTAAGCGTTCGCTTATAATCGATTAATTCGTTTAAAGCATACCTTATAAGGTAACGCTCTTTTTTCGTCGCCGTCGTCGTCGCTATCGTCGTCGCTATCGTCGTCGCTACCGTCGTCGTCGTCGTCGTCGCTATTAGCAGGGAAGCGGATTCGGTTTATAGGTAGATTTTATATAATAAAATTAACGCCTACGTATATTATTACTTAATCGCGTACTTTTTTTTATACCATAAAGTTCGTAGAGCATAACTTACTTTATAAGATATATTAAGGGAAGGAGGGTCGCTACCGCCGCCGGCGGCCGCTAGGCCGTTAGTATTACCTATCGTAATACTAGTACTAACTACGCGGTAGGCGTCGCTAGCCGATAGCTAATCGAGGCTTAAGTTAACGAGCTCGGTAATCGAAATCCTAGATACTATTTTAATTAGCTAAATTTATCGCGCGCGTATTAAATTTCTTACTTTTTTTAACTACTTTAATCTTATTTTATTAAATAAAAGATTACGAAATATCGTTAGCGTTCGTTTTAAGCTTAATTAGTTATATACGAAAGTTTAAACTTACGTAGTTATAGGAAGGATAAGAGGCGTAAAAAAAAAGAAAAGGAAATAATAAAAATAATTAATAATAAGAAATAAGTTATTTTATTTCGTAAATAAAGAAGCGTTATAGGAAGTCGCGATTAAAAGAAGGTACGGCGCTAGTTATTAAGGAAGTCGCGATATCTTTATACGTTAGGAAGGAGCGGCGTATTTTAAGAAACGCTCCGTAATTAAAGTAAAAAAAACGTATTCCTATATAGAAAATAACATATCTACGCTACTTTTATACCCGTACTCTTTACTTTTACGCGGTTTAGCTATATAAAGATTAATTAAAGTATTATAAACTATATTCGCTCGATAGAATTAACGTATATACGCTATTGTTATTCGTTATTTATAACGCTAAAGTACGTTATTTATAAGGATATCGTAGTAAGTATAAAGGTTAAGTAAATAGCTATATACGTAAACGGAAATCTCTATCTTTTAGCTTAGCTTTTATACTTACGAAATATATGTTAACTTAAATATTAACAAACGTAAAAAAAAACTTATTATTTATTAGCTCCTTATATACCGTATTCTTATAAAACGGCTCGTCGAATATTAGGCCTTATAGCGAGGTAACCCTAGAGTAGGCGACGTAATTTAACCTTAACGCGAATTCTTTTTCTATAATTCTAACGATAGCGTAAAGAATAATAATACCTTACGCTTTATAAACGGTTATTACGTATAAGATAGTTAAGGGAAATTATTCTCGTATATAGGAGATACCTTTATAATCGAACTCCTAACGCTCGCGTAATATTAATATTACCTTTTTCCCTCGAAAATCGCGTAGCTTATTTCCCTAAGTATCTTTAAACCCGGGTCCGTCGTAATCGTCGAAAGTTACTATAACTACTACTAGCGGCTTACGTTTAGAATTAACGTCCTACGTTTAACTTATATCGTAAATAAAGCCTTAGGAGCTATTTATAAGCCGTATTTCGGAAGAGATATTACGTAATAATATTACTCGAGCGCTTATATAAAGTAATAACTTAAAGAAGAAGTTACCGGCTAAGTCGCTAAGCGCGTTTAACGCTCCTCGGCCGTAATAAATAACGTACGTTTAAATAACTAGCGAATTAAGCGTTACGAGATAGTTAAAATTATACTAAAGTACCTTTTTACGCGTAGAATATATACGTACCGCTTTTTTAAAGCCGAAACGATCCTACTTAATTAATACCGCGGCTATTCTCGTAGATAAGAGCTAGAACGACTCGGCGGAAACTTACGTTAAGCGTAATTCGTTTAACGCTTTTCGAAAAGGCGCTTAGTCCTCGCCTACCTAGCGCTAAACTACCGATAGAAATACCGACTTAGAAAAAGCTCTATACGTATTATAACCGACGAATTCGTTTACCGAAAGATACGTCGAATTAAAAGTATAGATAGGTTTTAATAATATTAAGGGTAACTAAAAGAAGTCGCCGATTAAGATTATATTTACGCTATTAAAAACCCGCGAGTTACGCGGAAATATCTACCGTAAACGACGGTTAATAAACCTAAGTATACGTAGCCTTAATATACTTTTTTCGTCGATAATTAAATAGCAAAGGTTAGTAAGGCGTCGTTATACCTTAGCGAAAGCGTTATTAAAAAACGGCTTAAAGCTACGTTTTACGGGTAAACGAAGGAAAGAATATATCGTCCTCCCGCGAATATTATTACTCGTAGCGTTAGTTAAGGTAGTAAGGGCTACCGAATCTTAAGTAAGAACTTAACGAACGTAGGAGGCTAAAATCTTAATTAGATACGATTTTCTAGTACCGTTATTACCGTCGATTTAAAATAGGAGCTAGTTTTAATTACGACTTTATACGTAGCCGAAAACGGTATCGTAAATTAGCCTTTATTCCGGATTTAATATATTACGGGTATCTAAAGGAACGATTTCCTACTCCGGCGTATCCGTAATACTTATTATCTCGCGTTAATAAGTAGAATCGTAAAAGTAAGGATATTTATATCGGGCTACGTATATAACCTAATCGTAGTTTACGTCGATATCTCTATTCCTAAGTACGTTAAATATTTCCTACGTAAGCGTTTAATTTAAGAGTAGACGCGTTAGTTTAGCCTAGTCCTCTTCGTTTAAAGCCTACTCTTCTTCCTCTAGAAGCTCGAATTTTTCTTCGTTAGGTCCGGGAAGGTCGCCGTAATAGTTATCCTCGTATTAATAGGTTACTTAATATCGCGTATACGTTAATATATA